AACAATAACAAATCAATAAAACTATAACCAGCAGCAAACCAATAACCTAATCTAAAAAAAATACTAACTAAAAACTCCGATAAGTTGCAGAAAAGGATCCTGACCCTCTTTCTGTCACTTTCTGCTTTTGCTTCTCGCCTGGAGGGCTAATACAGTAGCAATATTCGCTGGCACGCAAGCGCGGTGCACCTTTCTGCCCCACCAGCCGTGTCTCATTTGGGAGGCAGGTATTGTTCTACACTTTCTATCTCTGTGGGCCACCTCGCACTCAGCCCTGCGTGTGTGGAAATGGGGGCGGGGCCTTGGGTGCTGATTGGCGGGTTACTGCCCGCCTCTTCAGCTGTTGAAACTCACGTATCACAGGCTCCACAGCCCAAGCTCGCTGTCCCGTACAGACCAATCGCGAAGAAAGGGGGGCGGGCGAACAAGGGGAAGGCGGAGTCGAGATCAAGAGGTGAAAGGCGCGGCTAACCCTTAAAGGGGCCGCGCACCCGCTGGTGAGCTAAATAGGTTCTACCAAAAAGCCCCGCAACCTTTTCCTTCTTTGGACTGGTGCGGGGAAGGCGCCGTTGTTTGGACAAAGAGTTCCCGGAAAGGCATTCCTGCAGAAGTTTGCTGAACCCATCAGCCCTGGCCAGTAAAACCAATGCCAGTGACCTAGGATGATGGGGCTTGTAGTTCGGGGACGTCTGGAAGACCCCGAATCCTCCATTTTTCTGTTTTGCACGACAGGTGAAAATCCAACAGGTGACACCTGTCCCAGCATGGAGCGGTAATCAAGACGATAACGATAGCAATAGTCAGAAGCATTGTTTTTAGGTGCATTTGGGTACTGCTTTCATGAGGAACAAGCAACATGTTGCGAACGAGCAGGCGAGTGTGAAGTTCTCCGGAGCGCGTCTTCAGGTTCGATGGCACCTGATGCCTCCCACCGGCCACCACTCCTCCTGCGCCCGGGGCTTCTGCAAGCGGATGGCCACCAAAGCAACTCACCCCCCCCCAGGCCCCCCATCTGTGCATCCCCCACCTGCTGAGATGCAGTTCCTCGTCCAGCATTGCCAGTCCGAAGACATTGCCTTGTTCTCCTTAACTGAGAAGGGGGGAAACAGCAGAAGCAGGATGAAAACACAGAAGGAGTACAAAAACCTGGATATGCCCCATCATAAGATACCACAAATTGGGCAGCGTGGTGGGATAAAAGCCCCCTCCAATGTTTCTGAGATGCCCTCAGAAACTACCCCCTCCAGTCGAGCTCTTTGGAAGCACCTGCTCTCCATCTTTCTCAGACAAGGACGGAGGCCGCCTGGCTACGTTACGCCCAAAAAGGGCTGCAGGTGAACTCCTTCAGGGCGCACCTGGCACTCGGACGGTCACAGGGGAGCCTGGCTTTCAAAATGCCTCCAATCTGCAAGCCCGACTCTTCGGAACGAACAAGAGAAGCTGCTGTATGAAGCAGACCTGGGGTCTCTCTAGCCCAGAGTGGCCAACACTGGTTCTGGGTACGAATTTCTCCAGCCCTGGCTGGGGTTGAGGTGCCAGGGAGTGAAGGGGCAGCTTTGGGCATGCAGTGCCAGAGCCACAGTCCCTCCCTGTGTGTGTGTGGGGGGCACATCCGGAACAGGCTGAGCACCCCTCCCTATCGAGGTACGAATGATGTTAACACACATTTTTCTGCCTAAACATGCATAGAAGTGCACCTTCCGTGTGCAGAAATGTCACAGCCTCAAGCTGCGAGAGGGCCTGAAAAACTCTCCAAGTCACACTCCCCCCCCCCACTTTATCCTTCTCGTCTCATAGGCCCCCACTCCAAAACCAAGCCCATGCCAAATCCAGGCGTTAGAAGGTAGGCACTGCCTGGCCCAGGTGAGTTAAGGCCCTTGGCCTGCAGGTGGAGCGTCTTCCTTTGCAGGAGGGGAATCCTCAGTGATGCAAATGTCTGGTTGAGGGCTCCGGAGGATGCTGGGATAGGGGAATTCCGCTGCAAGCTGCATTATCCATTCAATGAGTGCCAGTAGGAAAAGCTCCAGGGATTTGCGGAATTTGCTCTGTCTGGCTTATCAAGACCTCCTCATGCCCTGGGCGAGGCATCTGGTGAAAGAGCACCTGCTGGCGCTTCCTCCTCCTCCGGCTGCTGCTGCTTCCGCAAGCATCCAGTCCAGGTTTGCTCCCATGACTGGCCAAGGTCAATGCAGGTGACATGTGGAGAGGCGGTTGTGAGAACTGACATCCTGTGTCTGCCAGTGTGACCCCACTGAGGAGCTCTGCATGGGGCCCTGGGCAGGAGGGCAAGCGGCTCAGCCAGCCCAGCCGGGGGCAGGAGGGCCCCCCGGAGGGAGAAGGCCTGTGGCCTGCAGTGGACGGACTGCAAGCGACCCCCATCTTACAGGCACGTGTGGGTCCCAATTCCGTAATCCCCTTGGCAGAAGCCATTATCACTGCTGCTGTAAAGGCAAAGGAGAAAGATAATTTTCTTACAGAAGTGGGAATAAATTACATTGCCAAAGCCTACAGACCTGCATTTATTTTTCTGTCTGAAATATTGCTAAATGGATGTATGTTTTGTTCTCTTATGTAACGAAACAAATGACTCCGTCAGCCCTGCCAGGGGCCAGAGAGGGTCCCCAGGAGGGAGAAGGCCTGCAATGAATGTCCCCAGTGTGACAGGCCAGGCGCGGCTCCTGCCAGAGGATCCCCCTTCAGCATCGGCGTGTGGAAGAGGAGAATAGCTTGGAACTAAAGACCCTGCAAACACCTCAGGATTTGTCCATCTTTCCTGACTTCCTCTGCAGAGACTCTGTGCAACCTTTTTGTCTGTGTATGTGGCATTCCTCAGGCAACCAGAATTGTACTGCTGTTAAGTACCTGCCACAATCTGGTTTTTGCACGGTAAAACTTTCTGATTTTACATGGTAATTTCTTGAAGCAACTTATGTTTCCAGAACTGCACAAGGTACAAGGTCTGGATGACCCTGTGACCCAGAGGAGCCATGGGCAGAGTTGCAGCAAGGACACCTGGACACTCAGGCACAATCCTGTGCATGTTTTGACAGAAAAATGGTCTACCACTGGCCTGCTTGGAATGCTGGGAGCTGGAGGACTTCCGTCGAAAGGGGGGCCCGTCAGCAAGCTTCTTCCGGTGGCGACTGCACTGAAGGCACACACAAAACATCCAGAAGAGATGTGCCTGCAGCAAGATGGAAGCCCCAGGGTATGCGCGTCCATGTGCACTGTCAGAGCAGCTCACTGGTGAGACCGTGGCCCTTTGAAGGACCAGCGGGGCAGGAAATGGGCAGAGGGGCTTCTGTCTCCCAGCGGCCATGGGGCAAAGCAGCCGGGGGGCAGGACCTATAAATGTCCGTGGAGACGTTCTGTGCAAACACGGCTGAAGCGCACGGCCAGCGTGGCCTGGTGGTGAGGGTGCGGGCCTGGGGCTTGGGAGGCCTTGGAGCTCAATGGGTGCCTCTGGGCAGGCCGTGGACTCTCAGCACAACCTACCTTGCAGGGTTGTTGTTGTGCAAATACAATGGAGAGGCACAGAAGGCTGATGCTCCCCCTGTGGGAAAAAAGAGGGGACGTCAGTCCAATTAGCAGGAAACAACTGCAAATATAACTTGCACAGGAGTGTCAGCCGGGCAAGTCCGTCTCCGTTTGGGGCTCTGCCTGCCGAATTTCCCAGTAACAGCGGTGCCAGTGGCTGCCGGAACCTAAAGCAGCCATGCCTGGAGGCTCTGGACTACCAGTCCCAGCATCCACCATCCTGCCATGCTGTTGTTATTAATCTGCTTCGTTTCATTTCTCTGCCACCTACAGCTGATGCTTTCTGGGCGGCTCTCAAGGATTCATACAAGCGCGAAGGGAAAATACAACATGAAAGCACCGTTTCCCCAGTATAACAATGGTATAAAGGATTTGACAGCTGAAGTCACTTTAGCGCCAGGTTGCCCGCATGCCCGGGAGAAGAGGGCGGGCTTTACCCTGGCACCACAAAGGTGAGCCGGTGCCCGGCCCCGAGCCCGAAAGGGGCAGCTCGGCGTTTCCAGGTAGGCCAGGTGCGCGCAGGTAGGTCCGGATCCGCGCACGGGGCGGAGCGCAGCGGAGCAGCCGAGGGCGCAGGGGCGCGCGATCCTGCAGGCGGGGCGCGCGGCCGGGGGCGGGGGCCCCGTCGGGCTGCGTTGGCGCGGGGGCGGCGAGGGCGCCCCCTGGCCCGGTGAGCGGGGGCCGCCGTCGGGGCAAGGGAGGCCCGCGCCCGCGGCTCTCCCGCTGCGCTCCGCCCC